TCTGCTTCCGTGTTTCTGGTGCGTTTTTAATGCATTCCAGTTAATTTTTCCCCTCTCTTTCTTCAATTTAAATAGGGACATGTGCGTTCCAGTGCATTTTTTTATGCATTTTTGGTGCGTTTTACTGCGTTTCAGTTCAGTTCTGTGCAGAAAAAATGCAGCCTGTTCTACTTGTTTCTTCTGCAACTGAACTGCAAGCACTGATGTGAACTATGACATTGACAACCATATAACCTACTTTCTGTGCATCTTGGATGCAGAAAAAAAGCAACTGAAACACATGTTGTGTGAACTGGCCCTCAGGCATTTTTGCATTTTTGCCCCAGTAGACTTCAATGAGAACACCCAAAAAAAAATTCACATTCCCCCCCCCCCCCCCCCCGATAACTAGCTATCTATTATCATTGGCTAAAGATAATTAAAATAAGAAACGCTCAAACAAAAACACCTGCAAAAACACTCAAAATTTGCTTGTGCAAATGATCAAAATAAAAGCCTGTAAAAATGATCACAAACATGCAGGTTATGTCCTGGTTCACACCTGTGTGGTTTTGAAGTTGCGTGACTTTAACAGCCGACTGTTTGACAGCCGACTTCATTGTGGCTTGCTGACACTCCGTGCAACTTTGTATAAGGATGTCAATGCAAGTCGCAATGAAGTTGACTTAAGTCACACCTATTTGAAAGGTTCCCTTGCCGGTAATGAGTTGTCGTTCAACTTTGAAACTCGCAAGTCGCATGACAAGTCGCACTGGTGTGAACCAGAGCTATAGGTAAATGCGGATTGAAGAAAGGATAACAAAACTATTATAGGCTCAGTTCACAAAGCTTTAACATATGAGGATTTTTATTTTAGCCATGTGACTGTCATTTTCAGATCTCATTGGACACAGCTGAAAATAACTGTCACTTAAAACAATGGATCTATATGCTAATGTGTTGATGTGCTTTGTGAATGTCACGTATGTATGAAAAGACTGAAGGGACCTTGCGGTTTTGTAGCATTAGCTATTTAAATGCTCCCCATAAATGTGCCCCAACCCAGGCACACAGTGTTCTGCAGACTCCTCTGGTTTACCCATTAGGGGTACATCCTGCCTCTGATGGATATTCCTGAAGTCTGTTTTTTTTTCCAATATTAACCCCTTCTCTACAAGTAGTGGACTGATCAGCACCTACCTCCACGCAGAAGCTAGGTAAAGTTCAAACTTTCCAAGTGCAGTAAGCAGAGTCATTGTTTTAGTATTAATGAGTCTTTGGAGAAACTGCAGAGGTTCTCAACATACTTATAGATATCATAATTGATTTGCATTGTCAGAGGATTTCATTAAAATGAAGTTCTGTCCTATTTTGCAACCATGGCCATTTGTTGCCGATCCCTGTGCCATTCATCTTTGGATACTGTTATTTTTTTTGTTTAGTTTTAGTCCATGTAGATGTATGAAATTGTTCCACTTCCATCCTACCTAGCCGCTGCGAGGTACTTCATTTCCTTTCTCCTGTTGACTCCTGGGAAACCAGTGTCATCAATTCCAGGAGTTGACTGGCTGACAGTTTGCCATAACAATGCGGCAGGAACTTACTCAGATGCCGCCATTGCTATGACAACCTGCAATACACATAGTGCACCGTGATTAGTTCCCATTGCACATGCATGAGATTGGGAGGTGCATGCTTGGAGCCAGCTGCACCTAATCCTGGAAGAAACTCCTAGCAGGCTTCAGATGCCCATCCTCTGAATGGTCGCTTACATGATTCAGGGGGTGCTGTAAGTAACGCTGGATTTTCTTTAAATCGGCATATTGTATATTTGTAATCTTTTTTTTTTTTTTTTTTTTAAAGTATAGTTGCAGCGGCAATCATGAGGTGATTTTTTTTTTTTTAAATTTATAAGATGTGACACAAGAAGTTAGCCTGCAGTTTCTTCTTTGTGTTCTTACCTCCTTGCTGCAGTGCTGTTCCTGCTCCCTTTCACATGTGTGTTTGTCTGTGCTCACCTATGGGCATCGTCTGCTGTTCTCTGGGTTTTATTTCCTTACCTTCCATCACTTCCTGGCCTGCCTCCTTGCTTGCCTGCCTATATAAGACATGCTCAGTCTAGGCCACTTTGCCTGAGCAACTTCCTAGTTGTTGGAGCTCTTGTGTGTTGCTATTGTATCCTGCATTGACTACTTGTGTACTGACCTGGTTTTGTTCTCTGACTGCTTGTTTTCCGCCTGTCCTGACCTCAGCTAGTCTATTGGATTTCCGTTTGTTTCCTCCCATTGTACTCTGCTCCCAGGAGTGGTCTTTTCATCCTCAGCTGGGCGTACCTGAGGGCTGTGACCTGGTCCCAGCTTGCTGAAAGTCCATCCCCACCATCAGGGGCTCTGGTGAAAAAGCAGGCTGGGGCTTAGACTCCGCACCCTGGGGAACCCAAAGTTGAGTATCTACAAGGGCTCACTACCACAGCTGCTGACAAGATGACTAGAGTTCCACTTTAAAACTTGATCAGTCTTTGCTTCAGGTATCCTTATTTCTTAAAGTGAAATTCCAGTAAACCTTTTATTAAGTTTTGGATAATGAAGGGAAGGAATAGAACATCTGCCAAGGTTTTATTACTGTTTTTATTACTGTTGGCGTTACCTTTGGAGACATTTATCCTCACTCTATTTCTTGGTGACACCTGCCAGTGCCCAAGTACAGGATTAGTATGCATGCCTTGAAGGGTTGCCCCACCTTCTCCTGTACTGCATTCCCTTAGTACGCTTCTCATCAGTTTCATCATGAGGTTGCCTCTGATTAGTTATTCCAAAGACATGAATGAAGGTGAAAGTATGTGATTTTTACTTTGGTTTATTGTCCTCTAAGTCAAGTAAAGATGATCCTGAATAGACTGATACGCTATACGCCTGTAAACGCATCTAAACACTAGGTGTGTTTAGCACTCGAGCATTCGTTCGTAGGGCAGCACAGTGGCTAAATAGTTAGCACTTCCACCTGGCAGTACTAGGGTTGTTAGTTAAATCCCAGCCAAGGCACCACCTGCCTGAAGTTTGCATGTTCTCCCTGTGCCTGTGTGGGTTTCCTCCAGGTATTCCATTTTCCTCTCACACTCCAAAGACATGCTGGTAGGTTAATTGGATCCTGTCTAAATTGTCCCTAGTATGTGTATGTATGAATGTAAGTTAGGGACCTTAGATTGTACACCCCTTGAGGGTTAGGGACTGATGTGAATATACAACATATATGTGTAAATACACACATGTAAAGCGCTGAGTAAATTGATGGCGCTGTATAAGTACCTGTAATAAATAAATAATTTCAATGGCCAGAATAAATGAATAGTTTGTCCAGTGGAATAAACACCCAATCGCCTGATGCGCCTAAACGTGTTTGCAAATACGGCTTCAAGCATGTTTTCTAACCTGCTTTTCTGCTGCCAGGAGAAAAGGCCTTAAGAGGAGCTGGGCAAGCATCCGGTGTGCATGAGGCCACGTCAAGGCTTAGTGGACACTCATAGATGTTAGTCTATATGTATGTTGCTCTGCATGCGCCAATTGGTGTCTGGCGGAAGAGACCTTCAAAGAGGACCTGTCACCGGACCATTTTTTTCAACAGCAGTCTTCCCAGAAGATTATACAGTATGTGCATTTAACGAATTGTATGCATGTTATTTACATGTTACATGACTGCTGCTGGGTGCCACCATATTGGTGTTGATGTCAGCAGCCCCAGTAGACTCAGAGCTGCTACAAAAAAAGATTATCTGCGGTGGTGACAGGAGAAGCACAGAACATAATTATATTCTCCTAGAAGCAAAGAGGACTATGAAATGCAAGAAATGGACTGTGCTAGAGGATTGACTCTTCTGAAGAAGTCAAATTTGCTAGAAAGAGGCACATTGCAAGTCAATAAAAACTTGCTTTTTTAAAGGAAAAAAGCTCTGCAAGTAAGCAAAAAAAAGCTTGAATTTTCTGTAGTTTTACCTGAAATTTTTTAAAGCGGAACTTCACTATATCTGAGCACCACAAACCAAAAACTCTATTTAATTCATTTTATTATTCAAAGCAAACTCACCCATCCATGTCTCCATGCTTGATTTTGCTGAGAAATCACCCCGTAGCATTTCTGGCCGTGGTCATATTGAGTAAGGGCAGAAAAATTAATGTAGTATTCTTTTCCTAGAATCCATCCGCCCTTAGTTTTGGCATGTAGGCAGAAGGGTGTGCTTAACTGAGAAAACCCCTCCTCCCTCCTGAAGACTCCTGGGATGTATGACATTTGTCTAGGCATGGAAATCAGGAAGGAACTGAAGAAATGTAAAAAAATTAAATATGATATACTTTCCTATCTATTTACTAATGCTAGCAGCATAAGGATTAAAAATAGTTGGTGTTGACTGAGAGGGTGAGGTTCTACTTTAGGTTGATGACAGGGTCCCTTTAAGGAGTCCAGAGAGAACTCTGAAGAGCCTACAAGCTGTAGATCATGCAGCAGCATTATTTTAAAGACAAAAAATCAAAACCATATGTCATCTCAAGACACCATTTTCCAAGTGTAAACTGCACTTACGGGTACCCACACATGTAGGAACCCCAACTGTCATAAAACATTTCTGAAATTTCAGATATTAAGTGGGCAGTGGATGGAGATCAAGCAACCAGAATAAGCAACCTTGGACGTTTTTTTTTTTTTTTTGAAGAATGCTGGATCGATTTTGTTGGAAATATTCTCGTGATCTCTATTTGTTTCACATTCATAATTCTCAACATACTGTACATTCTTAGGGAAACAGCATGCTGTAAACATAAGCACAAAAGCATCCATCATATCTCTTCTTGACAGCCAGATGTGGGCCCATCCAAACAGCAGTGATGGTTCAGATTAGTTATGAGATCATTTCTTAGAGATTTCTTTGGCTTATTGCGCCTTGCACTGAATTACAGAATTCCAAGTCCACAAATGTGTGTGGTCAACCTAAAGCCCTCCTTTCTTCTCTCTTCTGCCTGGCCAGTAATAGTCTAGGACAGGGGTGTTTAAACTGGCGGCCCTCCAGCTGTTGCGAAACTACAAGTCCCATCATGCCTTTTCCTTTCGGAGCCATGCTTATAACTGTCAATCTTGCAATGCCTCATGGGACTTGTAGTTTGGCAACAGCTGGAGGGCCGCCAGTTTGACACCCGTGGTCTAGCAGGTATACCTTGTGCTTTTGGTTGTGTTCCAAGCAGAGCTCACACATACAGAGCTCCCGAAGAACGATTAGCACGTACACTGCGCCTCTGTTCTGTGGTGGAAGAGAGATGGGAAGCTGTACCAAACATATTTTACATTTAATTAACTTTAAACAATGTGTGGACTTGTCTACCAGCATTCTTAATATAACATCCAGCTCCAATTTCTATATGGAATTGAAAGGAAATGAATATAGCTGCAGGGAACACCTCTCCTTAACTGCAGTACTGCTTTGTGCTACACATTGAAAGCATTGTAGATATTCGCACTATTACTCCCATCCAAGACAAAGAATACCACAAATAGGCCGTATCCTAATACCAGGTCAAACCGGGTTGTTTTAAAGGAGAACTCTAATTAGATTTGAATCTAAAATGCTATGATCTCCAAAACTCTACAGCCTGTCCTGCGAAAAGTATCTGCGCTGTTTATGATACCTATTAAATAGTTCCCTGTAAGACAAGCCATACATGATTTATTTTCTTTCGTTCAACCAGAGGGTTGAACGAAAGAAAATAAATTGATTGCCCCATCCACATATTTGAGGTGAATGGCAGAATCTCTCTTGTGGAGGTATTGTACCCTGACAGCGGGGAGATTTCCCCGCCATCAGAATAAGAGAGAACAGTCCTGTCCTACCCAGTTTAAGTGATCAGGTCTGGACAAGGAAAAAGATTCAGAATGCCAGTTGTCCCCAATGGGATCCTACCCTACCTGAGCCATCAGTGGTTTGTGGAAGGGGGCACAGCTGCCAACTATCTAAAACGTACACATAGTTCATAAAAATGCAAGCTAATTAACTGACTCCTTAATGTGATTGTAAAGGATAAAATTTAATTTAAAAAAAATAACTAACGTGTTAAATTCACCTGCTCTGTGTAATGGTTTTGCACAAAGCAGCCCCATTCCTCCTCTTCTCAGGTCCCTCCAATGGCTCCCACTGCTGTCTCTGCGCCAGTGAGGAAGGAGAGAAGAATGGGGAGAGCCTCTGTTCTCATGCACAGCACTGGATCAAGATCGGGCTCAGGTAAGTATAAGCAGAAGGTTTTTTACCTTAATGCAGTGAACAGCCTTTAGAAACATTTTAAAGTTTACCAGTATTAGATATGTATTTCATTCTATTGAGTGGGCACAGCCAGAATACCCAAAAAGTTCTAAGTTGTGCACATGCCTGTCACTTCACAGGGGAGGATTCACTGGTACGCCATGGTGTCTGATGGGGTGGGACATGCCTGTACAGACAATGCAGATGGAGTGGATTCTCTATGCCTATGGCAACTCTTTTGAATGTCAATCAAAGGGAATAGGGGGCAGGGGAAGGCTGTTAGCGTATCTAGGATCAAATTGTTTCTTATCTGGACAGAAATATATGAATTTCCATTACTGAGCAGAATTAGAAAATTCAACTAGACTGTTAACTGGCCTGGCCTCACACATTGGGTCCTTCTGAAAGCCTATGTATGTATGAGATGGGCCAGTTGACAGGAAGCAACTGTCAGATTCTAGGTGATCTCCAACCCATTGACTCTTAAGTATATCATCAGACACAGGAGTATTTAAACCACAGGTGGCAAACTGGCAGCCCTCCAGCTGTTGCCAAACTACAAGTCCCATGAGGCATTGCAAGATTGACAGTTACAAGCATGACTACTAAAGGTAGAGGCATGATGGGACTTGTAGTTTCGCACCAGCTGGAGGGCTGCCAGTTTGACACCCCTGATTTACATGGTTTTAAATTACTTTTATAGTGTGTGTGTGCAATATATATATATATATATATATATATATATATATATATATGCTCTATATTATATTGTATTGCTTGGTGCACTCAGACTGCTCTATCCAACTCATCTGATTCACTGATTTAATGAGAGCCTAGTGCTGGATGCTTTTGTGAATGTACCCTTACAACCTCACAACCCGAGCTCCATTACTTGCAGACTCATTCATCTTGTGTCTCAGGACAAGGGGCTGGTTGGTTGTGTAGTATACAGATGCAATCCTTTGTTCAGTGACAGGGGCTAATTTGTGCAGTGTTTACATTTGATTGGCCTGGCTGGTTTCTTAGTCTCATGACATGTTGAGTGATGAGGCTCTTTACAATATCTCTGAGTGACAGAGATTTATCCATTGCATGGTATAGCCAACTGTTTTGATGACAAATCCTCCATCTAATGATATACATAAGATGCCAGTCACCCATCATGTTTTCTCATGTCTGCGAATGTGCTTGAATCCCTCCAGAGAAGAAATCAATGACCTGATTGCTCTGACTGACTCTTGAAATAAGTGGGGCCTACAATGTCTGCCAGACCCACCTTATCTTCTTCCCTTGCCTTTGCCTTTGACCCGAGCAGAAAAGCCATGCTGGACCAAATGTCCCTATACATGTAGTATTCAGGCCTCACAAATACAATTACTACTTTTGACTATTCAGACCATTAATCACTGTCTATCTTGTCCTAGTAAAACTCTGGTTGGCAGGAGCTTTGTGGCTTTGTGATCCTTTTGTAATTCCAGTGATATTGTTAGTTGTGTAGCCAGGTCCAGGCTTCCATAGTTGCATGATGGACAAATCTGCAGTGTCGGAAGATTTCCCGTACTCTTTTATCCTTGTGACACCAAGATCATAAATTAGGGAAATGGGGTTCATGTGGACACTAGGTCACAGACAGTAATAAATTTGCCTGTTCCCTTTGTCTCCATTAGCCACATTACCCATTCCTTTTTCTCCCTCTTACACCCAGTCAGTAGGAAAAGAATTGAGGTTAACTTTGGGAAACAGCTTGTAAAACAAGCCAGATGTTTTTACGTCCTAATATTTCCCTCTTGGGGCTTTAGGATCATTAAACCCTGTGATTATTGTGCCTCAATTTCAAACACACATTTTACTTTTTCTGCAGAATGCAGCGCAATCCATGTGATTAGGAACATGTTTCCAGTCCTGAGTTAATCATGAAACCTTCCTTTGTAGTACAGCCATGTAATTGATTTTAAGCCTGTCTGTTCACTGATAAATTTTGCAATAAAACAAAACAAAAATAGAGGTGCTGGACTCAAATTTGACTTTCTTCATATACAGATTGATGGTAACTCTTGGCAACTTGACTTTGGCCACTGGGAGAATACAAAGTGAGGGGAAACTCCCACTGGATGGGAACCTCCCAGCTTGAGAAGTTTGGGTGGACAGAACTAGAATGCCAAACAATCAACTCAGAAGTTCATATATCCTTTATCAGTATAGTGACCACCAGAAGGAATACGCTAGCCAACAAGTTTTCGAGCGCCAAAGAGTCCCCCTTCATCAGAGCTATACCAAAAATCCATAAATGAATAATATTGATCAAATGCATGCGTAAATTAAAATATTAAATATAAATATGCACATTTATAAACATTCATTTTTGAATTTTTGTTATAGCCCCTAAAACATGTTGGATACTATAATTCCACTTATTGTCAATTGTCAAGAATAAACATTTATGAACTTTTGAGCTGATCATATGGTGCTCTATTCTTTCTGTCCACATTGACAAATGCTGACTGTGTTGTACCTCTTTGACCTGTTTGAATGACAGTGGCTGGTGAGTACAGTAATGAGGGTCATTTCTGTAATAAAGCCATGGTAGCCTCTTTTAGTGCACCGCATGTTAGTACAGTATGTCTATTTCAGTTGCCTGGGTTGCTTTCATCATGTGAATGTTAACATGTGCAGAGATGTGCTATAGATGTATAGAGGGTACATTCCGTCACAGGTCAGGTCAAGGTTCTTGAATCTGATCAGAGTGTTTTATAAGCACTTTGCTTTAAAGTGAATCTGTGAGAACAGAAGCATAGGTGCTGCCATTATTGGCTGGTACATGCAGGCTCCGAGGACTATTTTCCTAAACCCAGCTTTGCTGCTTATAGGCTTCACAGACATCCGTGGCTTATCTCTTGTTCCAGGTTTGAAACTTGCTAGGTTGTTAAAGCAAACTAGTGCTTTTGCAAGCAGGAGAAATGCAGCAGGTTCACTTTATTTCGGCACATTTTTGCCCTCGATTAACTTGACCATTTGCCAGGAGCAATGCCAATACCCCATATTTCCGGGTATGAAGGAGCATGTGACTTACTCCCTTTCCTCTCATGTGTTAGTGCTGGTACTTGGTGATTGGCCCTGTGGTATCATATAAGGACGGGGAGAATGCCCAATCCCATGCAAGCTCCCACAAGAACAATATGGAGCTTTGTTCATCCACTCTCCAAAGGAATGGAGTAATGGGGGAACAAGGAAAAGTATATAAATACATTTTTGAACTGGTTATCCACTACACATAAACAATCCAATAAGTGTCCAATCCTTGGGTGCCAAGATATCACTTTCTCCCCAGAAAGTTCAAGATAAAAATAAAAAGACGCTGGGAAGGACTTTTTAAAAAATAAGTATATGCATCTCAGGATGGGGACATTAAGGGTGACCTGTTGCTTTGCCCTGCACAGGTTCACTTTTAGTTAGGATCAACAATGGAAGCCCTTATATTTTTAGGTCCACCAACTGAACCCACCCACTGTAAAATCCTCCTTGGCACACCACGTCCCATCGTCAGCCGGTTTCCTGTCACATTCCACCTCTGTGTCTACATTCCATTGCATTGACTGACACACTTCGCTTCCTCCAGACTTTCTCTACTGGCCTCTCCTCCCACAGATGTTCTCATTATTAAATTACTTTTTAGGAAGCTGTTGAATAAGCATTTGGGTTCTCACTATACCACAGGCTCTCTTTGTCTTTATGGCATACTTCTTAGCTTGGTTCTGTCTGCAGACACCAGGTGCAGCCATCTACATGCGAGGTTTAGCTCTTTAAGGTTAACTACTTTCACAGGTCATGAATCAGTCATCTTTGGGGCTTCAAAAAATAGCACCGGACTGCACAGTGGAAACCCATACATCTTCCAAGTGGAGTGCTATTTTCAGTTTACTGTTCCATTAATGTTCAGTAAAATGACTGAAGCCTTCAACAAGAATCCACTTATCCTTTGAGAAGAGTAGAAACATTCCTGTCATCTTGAGGTCATCCAATTTACAGATGAACATTTCATCTTTCCATTGTGGTACCTTTCCTTCTTTGACTTGTGTGGCAAAAGGTAACTGATTCTTTTTTTCAATGAATTATTTGCACCTCAATTTACAGGTCCATCCACCCACCGTAGACAGTCAATGTGACTGTCTCACGTTCACATTTTCATTATTATTCCCTAACAGTGAATAAAGAGTTGTAACAAAATATAGTATATTTTTACTAGACATGTGAGTTTCATTTTTTGTTTTTTGATTTGTTTTTCGGACAAACATTTCATTTTCGGACACTCGGATGCATACGAATGTCCATGAATGTGAAAAAAAGTTATATGAACAAATGCATTACTTTCATTCGGATGATGTCACATGATGCAATAGTAGTTTGGACCCATGGGGAAATCAATTCAATTTTCAAATTTGTTTGACAGTCCAGATTCGGATAACCAAATTTCATTTCTATTAATTAATTTGGATGCATATGACGCCAGTCGATATTGTCCAATCGGCTCATGCCAATTCTCTTGGTGGGTTGGACTAGCGTCCAAATATATCAAATCCATCCAATTTGGATCCATTTGTTTCGATAATATATTCAATATATAGCAAACTTCTACATTTTCCGAATCCATTTGGACCAACGAATATACGAAATGAATACCGAAGATACAAAACTAATTCCGTAAACAAATTGGTTCAACATAACGAATATTATAAAACTAAATTCTTCAATGAACGAATGCATTGAAAGTGAAACAAACATTTCTGGCATGCACATGTCTAATATTTACATGTTATCAGAACTGGGTAGAAGAGGGTGTAGGTGAGGGGGGCGGAGGGCAGTCCCTGGATGTAGGTGCCTGATGCTGGGACCCTGTCTGTGAATCCTATTGAGGTTGTTTGGGGTTCAACTAAATCAGTTTGTGTCCTGTTTAGTCTGCCCATGAAAACTTTGCAAGTTGCAGACTCTTCCAATATGGCAGCTGAAGCCACTGATTGTAGACATTTTCCTGTTTATAATGCAACTCTGTATTAAATTTTGCAACTTGTTAGACTTCATTAGTTGTAGTACTTAAGACCGGGAAAGGGCAGGAATTAATTAAGTCAATGATGTCACCATTGTGATGACGGTGCATTGTATGTGGTCTATAAATGGAACACGTTCCCTTGTCCTCTTGGTTCTGGGGCCCAGAAAGTTTGTCTGTCCTGGATCTCATGTCCTTGCATGTTATGTCTGCACAGACATCAATTTAATAGGTTGTTTTGGAGTAATTTTATGTTATTAACCATATGGCCAATTTACTGTGCATCTATCCCAATAATAAAGAGGACACAAAAGGCTTGTATCAGGTTACACTAAAATTATGTGCGGGTGAAATATTACATTCTGATCATAAAGTTTTTAATAAAATGCTGTGCTGTAAAAGGCTCATTCCATTAACCACAAAATATTTTTCATAAGTTTAGGCCACTATGTTTCTGTGAAGACTGTGGCATTAAAGTGTATGTCAGGGCAAATTAAAAAAAGATGCAGTACATCTCTGCAATACATACATTTCCCCATGTTTTATCCCTTTACAGACCCAGTGAGTACAGAAAAATACAGTACCTGTTGATGTGCCAGAAATGCACTCAGCTATGCTCTTGTGAAATGACACTCCAC